TTTCCTTGTCTATAATCATTTTTATATTTATCTCCGTGATAAGACATTTTTATAGCATAAATATCAAAACGAGGCACACCTGGTACGTAGTATTTAGTGATTCACGACGTTCTACAGCTTGAGTAACATTGTAACTCTACCTCCACACATCTTCTAAGGGTGCCTATACATGATATGTAACGATGGCATTCTTATACAACGGCGTGAAGAGCGATTTTTCCTGAAGCGAGCCCCGTTCAAATGATATTTTTAGGGCATCTGTCTTTCAAATAGTAAGTTATTATTATTATTATTATTATTATTTTATTATTATTATTACATAGCATTGACATTGGCAATTAATTAGAGTCAGACACCTTGGTTTGGCGTTTGTGTAAAAAACTTGGTTGATTACAACAAAAGTAAAAAACTAAACTGCTGGATGTAGAGTTGTTTTCCTCTATATCTATCTACATCTCTTACTTTTAGTAATCATTCCTAGCTCAGGTCGTCTTTTGCTTTTTCTCTGTTTTATATCTTTACATGCACCTGCTTAATCCTTTGTAATACCCGTTGATCTAAAATTGTCATGGTCCGCAGTATTTTACTGGGTAACGCTATCCATAGTTACATTTTGAGTAGTTTTTTTCTTTAAATCTCTATTTCACTGGCCTCTCAGCTCTCAATACATTTAATTTTTCTAGTTCTTTGATAAATTTACATAGGCTGATGATCGGATACCCTGTCAGTAATTAAAGAAAATTTTTTCTTGTCTCCTGATTCGCGCCTGAAAACTCTTACTCTTCTACTTCCTTAACCTACCCGTCACTAATTCTTTCCTTTAGCTCCTATTAGAATATATATATAAGCTCATTTTTTCCTGGTTTCTTCTCACATGCCCTACAACTTTTGTTCCAGAATCCCTTATTTTCTGTCCTTCTTACATTCTCACGTCTCAACCTTGCCCATCGTCCTTGTGTCTCTCCTTTTATCTCTCTATCTTTCCAATATTTTTCAATTCCGGGTTCATTTACAGTTATACTTCTATAGGTTCATTCTGCACTAAAGATGATGTAGCAGTAGTTTTGGACGCGAAGGAAAGACACTTAAGCATGCACAACAACTTAACAGGTTACAACGATAAAAATAAATGAGGGGTTGATATAAAGAAGAAAAATCGTCGTTTTCTGGAACAGAGGTGGACTTATAGAAGGGGAAAAATGACACTTAAAGGAAGAAAGAATAGTAGAAGTAAATAAATACAATTATTTAGGATTTTAGTTTACAAAAAAAAATGTTTAGCCACCATGTAACTAAAATGGCAAAAGAAGCCAGAAAAGTAATTAACACTACAAGGCGAATATGGATAAGAGCTAACATTGAGAGGCTTAGTAGGTGTTTGAGAACGTGCGTGGATCAAGCTAGAGAACGACCGTCTTATCTCAGTTGTGTTGGCTTGTTTGTGTGCGCGCCCGTGTGTGTGTGTGCTTGTCGGTCGGCGCCGCTGCCGACTACCGAGTCGCGCGGCGCTTAGGAAGCCGCTGCTTGGTTGGTGCCCGCTGAATGTTGAGCGAGCCGTTGATTTGTTCAGTTTTGATCATAGAGAGCCACTCGCATCTATCGCTTGTAGTAGAAGAACGATTGGATTTTCTCTGGTGCGTTTCATTGATACAAAGTTTTCTCAAACATACAGTACACTCGTTATTAGTACAATAACGTGCTGCTTACTGCAGTGGTTTGTTTTTTGACATCTCAAATTAATACGGAGTGATTTCCGTAGTACCACTTTTTTTTAATCGCATAGTAGTACATGCCAGTAAATGTCACTTCAGGACCTTAATCACACATAGATTTTTTTGATAAATATTATTCAAGCATTAAAAGTGTATGAGAAAAATAATTTCCAGCGTTGCTGTATATATTTGCGCTCCTCCAGCGTTTTTGAACTTGGAACTGAACTTTTCCCCTACTTACTATGTGATGAATGTTCTGAAGTAAGAAAATCACTTCAATCACAAAAGAAAACTTGTGAAAGAAGTACACGCCTTACAAATTATTTTATTTATGCAGTACAAAATTTTTTTTTTCTAGTTTTTGAAAATTAAAAAAAAATGTAAGAAATTATATAAACAATTTTTTATTTATTTTAAAAGTAACAATCTCACGATAAGTTAAGAAATGTTTATTGAAACTAAGAAAATCTGCTCTAATAATGAATACTAACTTCTAAGTTTTTGAAAAAAATGTTTAACTAAAAAATCAGTTCATTAAAGAATACATTTGTTTTTTTCTACTAAAAATAAGTTAAAAACCACACCATAAGTAGATGTAATGAAATTTGTTTAAAAACTGTCACGGGGTATGGGGTAAAAAGGGGAGAATCAAGCAAAATTCACTACCGTTACACTTTTTCAAAATATTCATGCCACTTCCTTTTCCTTGAGTAGCTCTGCTGATTAAATACTTTATCTAAGACTACCACTAGTTCCCCAATCCAAAATGAAGATAACCCCTCGAAAAACTCTACCAGTATCCCATCTTCTCCTGCAGTTTTATTATTTTTCATTCTTTTGAGTGCACTCAGCACTCCTTCTGTAATTTTTGCATTAAGCGTTTCCCCCAACTTGTCTACTTTTTATCTTCCAACGGCCTTTCAGTTCTATCTTTTGTTCTCATGTTCGGTTGTTCTGAATTTTGTATACCGTGTGCCTCTAAAAAAATTTTAAAGTGCCCTAGCCAATTCTCTTTTTTTATGCCTGTTCCCTTCTTTTTTTTAGCCCAAAATCGGCCTATTGCCCTTTACAATTCTGCCATCCCTTTGCTATCTTCTACTTTCCTCCATTTTTTGTCTCGTTCTTCTTCATATTATCTCCTCCAGGTTTCTCTAAGCTTCTTCTCTCTATTTTGCCCAATTTTTTACTGTTTCTCATACTTGTACTTTTTGTATTTTGACCTTTTTGTCTTGTTCGACTGACCATACTTTTCTTGCTTTTTTGATCATTTTGAGTTTTTTTTCCACCTCCCAAATTTGTCTGTATTGATGGCACATCTTTCTTGTAAGTTCACGCTCACTAAATCTGCTTCTAGTTTTTTATTCTCTATTTCATTACAATACTCAATATTCTAGGTTTTATATCCTTTTAAAGTCATCCAACTGTCTGATTTATCCCTTATCTCAGTCTCATCTTTTCTAACCTTATTTGCAAATGTTATACTTATTTCTACTGGAAGGTGATCCAATTAAGTTCACAAAGTTATTTTTAATTTATTTACTATACTCCCTTGATTACTCTTTAGCTCTAGTGCTAGATCGAGGACTGAGCTGCTATTGTCTCCTATGAATGTATCCATTCCTTTGCAATCTTTTTTTATTGCTTCGTTTTTAATATTTAAGCTTGTTTCTTCGCAGAAGTCTAGTAGTTTTCCCCCTCCATATTTACTGTTTTATCTGCGGAATTTCTGCTCCACTGCCTTTCCTCTTCGCTATTACCCTGTCACTTCCCTATTCTCGCGTTAAAATCTCCGATAATCAAGACTAACTCTCTTTCACTAATACAGCCATCTACTACATCCCCTAGTTTTCAAGAATGAGTTCTATTTTTGTGTTATTGCATAACCCGAATATGCAAACTTTTTTTTTTCAACCCTCTTGTGGCCAGTTCGAAATTCCATTCATCCACCTAATATTTTGTAACATGCTTTTTAACGCCTATAAGAACTTTTCCTTTAGCCCTCCCTTTTTTTCTCTCTCTAACTACCAGTTTAAAATACTAGTTGTTTACAATACTCTTGTGTAAAAAAGATCGTAGTCGAAGCTCGGAAAAGCTTCACAGATGTTTGCAAAGCCTGTATTAACGCCATGGTAAGGTAATGCTGAGTGTTTGATATGACTGGAAAAGAATTGTTCATCATGCGCTACTTAAATCTGGTCAAACAATTAATTTAACTCTTTACTGTCAAACAACTAATGATGTGATTGCAGCAAGCGATGAAAAAAAAACGGCCAGAATAGATCAATCGGCAAGGTGTTGTTTGTTTGTCATCACGAAAACGCTAGACCACATATATCTTTAGTACGAAAAACTCTTAGAGTGGTGTAAAGTTGGCTTTAAAAGAGGCTTGCGAAAATCACTTGATTCAGTTTGGTGCCCAGAAACTTCAGAAGTTCTATAGTGACAAAATTATAATTCTTTCAAAAATTGACAAAAGGTCATGCATCAAAACAATACATTTATCGTTGATTAGTGTTTGAAATGGATATGAATGAATTTGCTTGTCTATAAATTAATTATCTAGAATTATTTTGTAACAATTTGGCACCTATGCAACTATAAACTTTTTAAGTTATGTTCAGAAATCTTGAAAAATAATGAAGGACACAAGTTTTTTTTTTAATTTTCAACATGCTTTGGTTCAACAATGTAAAAAAATTATGCCATTGTTTCATAAAACAGAAAAAATACATAAAAAATCTTTGTTTTAATTGTAGCAAAATATGACCCTTACAACCTTAAAAATAATTGGAAACTAATACATTTTATTTTTCATTAACATAAAACCATACATTTTTTAGAACTTACAGTAAGGCAGAAGAAGTTACAAAACAAAAAAAAAACGGTTTGTACAATAGTAGCACCCCACTACCTCCTAAAGAGCTGAAAATTTGGCCAAAGGGATATTGAAATATGCCTTTTTAAATAGATCATAAAAAATAAATATCTATAGTAGAGAAATTTCGACAATCTTAACCAGTTATAGTTAACAACCCTTAAGATGATTATTTTATTTACGCGGAAGCGTAAAATTATATGTTGTTATATCGTTTGAGCTAAGTTGTGTGCTCAAAATATAGGTTTAGTCAAACATAATACCTTATACTTCAAAAACTACGTAGAAATTATCTAAAGAGTTTTTTGATTTCACCACATGACTAATGATGGAAAAAATGATAATATATTTCATAAACATTAGAAGTAACTAGATACAATATTAAAAATTCTTTGGAGAAGTGTTTTACTTACTGGGCTCAAAATATAATGTTTGCCTTGTCGGTCATTTAAAGAGAACAATCCATTTTCAGCTATTTTAAGTCTTGAAGTTTTGTGCCACAAATATGATGGTGTGAGAGACGGTAAGAGGATTTTTTGACCACCAATTACTTTCATCTCCTCATCTACTAGATTACATAGTTTTGCTAAAACTTTCAATCCCAGAGGGAGAAAAGTGAACATTCCATTACTCGAGTTGCTGATAATACCTACATTTTGCATGAGCTAAAAATACAAGAAGACAAATGCATTTTTATATATAACATAATTCATGATTATTTTTATGGTGTAATCGAAATCACAAAATTGAAAATCACTTTCAAAATCAATAACTTACATTCTAAGCTAGTATTCTTAAGCAAATAAAAAATTAATAGATAAGCCACACCAATTCTGGCTCATCTGGTGCTGTTAGACGAGCTGTGTTTAGCAAATTCTATACTATTAGACATGTTTCTTTACCTACTTTGTGATAGTGGATAACATTTTTTGGCTTATCTGTCATATTCAACGAACATCTTAAACGAGAAGCGTTTGCTATTTTAGATTTTAGACTATAATCAAATCTAGCTCTGTTAACGATATAGACTGAGTCTGATTGTGTGCTTAGGCACTGACCCTTAAGTCATCATGTAATCAAATCTATTGAGCTACTGATAATTTATTTATCTCTTGTTACAAATTAAATTTCTTTTCAATAAAAAAATTTTTTTTCGTGTAAATATTTAAGTAATACTTGTGCACCTAAAAAACATGTATTGATCATATTTTTTTTTGGGCCCTGACACATTGTTATTTTAGGCCAGAGGAATTAGAAGAAAGAATGATATTTTTGTACTAAATTACGCACAGGTTGAACCATAGCTGATTTTGTTCGTTTGTACGCCAGAAAAAATATCAATTGTTTATGGAAAAAAATAGCATTAAATATTGAATGGTTTTGTAAAAGTTAGGGTCGACAAAAATGATCAATCAAGAGCTCATTTTTTTATCAAGACCTATATTTTTCGATAATTCTATAGGCACAGTGATTTTTTTATTATCAGACCATCAAAATGGCGACCTATAAATATGTTTTTCAAAATTAAAATCGCTTAAGAAACCGAAAAATTTTATTTTAATGACACCTTTTATTTATTTATAAAATCAACGCTCAAAATTATAGGTATCTATTGTTCATTATAACCATTGTGTAAATTTATCATTTAAATTGAACAGGTCTCTAACTCTTTAAATTATTTATACTTACAAGTTAATAAAAGTCTGATTGTTTTATTTGTAATACGTTTAAAGCAAATCACAAAAATTCGATTTACAGCGAAGTTTGTACTTAACATCGTTAATTTGACAATGCTCCGCACCTCCAATATAGGATTAATTTCTGAAGATTGTTCTTTGCCTACAAACGAAACAAAATAAGCTATGTTCTATTCTGTGGATAACTTAAAGAATCTTTTTTCCTAATTCCTCCGGTTTACACCCCAACTAGAACCCAAGATTCACTAAATTGAACACGGTAGTGTGTTGACATGAAATGTAAAACATTTTCAGTTAAAAACTTTACATATATTCCTAACACTTCAACAAAAATCTTTTCATTAAAAAAATTGTTTTTTATCATTCGTACAATTTATTTAGTCGAATAATAAGCTGTGAGAAGTGAAAAAAATATAATTATTTTGAAAAGTACCGTGCGATCCTTATGCCGCAAAATAATCATTGGCCCTAAAGGACTGTTGATTTACAGTTTTTCCCGTATAATTTACGAAAAGAGATATTTTTAAAGCTGTAAAGATCTTAAACTCACAAAAAATATATAATAGAAAAAAAAATTTGTCTCCTATCTCACAACTTTATAACCAGAGCAACAAAGTCCTGGAGCTTAATCTCTACATTTTTTATCACCACAAAAAAAAAATACATATTCTACCTATTTACAAATCTGGAAGATTTAAGAAAGTACTGTGAGGGTACAATAAAAAGCTAAAAGCTGATCTCTCACGCAATAGATTCTTTATTTGTCGATTTTGAAGCTGCTGTTACAATCTTGATAAATATTCTGCGTCAATTTCTTGACGCCTGAAACTGTATTCATTAGATGCATTTGAAGTTTTTCTTCCAATTCGTCCTCTTGCAACTTTTGACATAGTTAACACTTTTGTGAGCACTAAAGACTGCTTTTCTTTCATCTTTGTTAAGTTCTAATATATTCGTTGGCAAAGTAGTTCGACGTCCGATGGCTCTAAAAAGACTGGTGAGCTTCTTAAGTAAACTCTTTCTTGACTGAAGTTTTCAGCAAACGTGATTGCCTCTATACCTCAGGATGATCTTCTCTGGCCTGTTATTGTAGCACCAGACTAATCGGGAGAAAAACTACAACTTCTGAAGCGTTGGGGATAGTTGTAGAGCTCTTTTCTAACGTCTCTTGGTATTACGCCAAAGACTTTGGTGTCTAAAGCGCCTTGTTTTTTTTTGCAGACTCAGTTGTTTTGGTGATCTAAGGTAGGGAGATTGGCTCGTGACGCTTTCCCGTTGGAGACTGTCCCGTTTGATCAAATTTATTTTTTCTTTCAGCGCAGACCTTGGAGAGAATCAGTGATTTCTAGTCAAATGTTAAGAGTCGAAAAGGTAATTGGGGTCGTTGGTCACCGGAGTTCCCAGCTTTGCGACGAACAACTCCGCTCGTGACTTCTGCCAGTGAATGGTGGAACTTGGTTTAATAGTGGCCTGCTTTATATAGTCTTCTAGTCGACGAATCGTTTCCGGAAATGGAAGTAAGAATGTATTTGTTGGCAAGGTAGTTTAACCTTACGTGGCCTTTAAAAGAACCGATGAGATTGATGTTTAAGAAGGGAACGTCAATACTCATAATGACCCTGAAAAGGGCCAGTGGTGAAACTTCCAGCTATTTCTAATTATTATTCTTGATGATAGAGAGCTGGCTGCAGGTACCTTGACTCTTACCCTCGAAGTCTCTGTGTTCGAAAACCGTGCTGGAGGGAGGTACGCTGCTGAACAAAGAATATCTCGTCTTCAGGTCGTTTCCCGGATAACCAACCGCTTATCGTTAGTCAGGAAAGTAGGCCTGGAGAATGCTTTCTCTGTGGGTATGTTGTTGAGACGACCACTGAGAAGGAGGCCGTTGTGGCTGCCCGTACTTCTCAGGGCTGTCTTCCCTGGCTTGCATTTGTAGTAAAAAATGCTCTGACGGCACCAGGCCGGATGGTTAAACGGCCACGAAACTCTGAAGTGTTGAAGCAGGTTGTGCTCTGGCTAGACTCGTTTCGTGGTATTTCGACAGAGATGCTATTACAAAATATTCGAAAAGTAATGTAAGTTTTAATAAAGACCAATTGAACCTCAATACTTACTTTTTAACTAAGATCTTGAAATGTGTATGTTGATGACAACCTCACAGGAGCCTCAACCATACGCCCTTACTAATGAGGTAAAACTAATAATTTTCACCCATCCGTAATTAAAGCATCACCTAAAATTTTTACTGCTCCTTATCATAACTAACATTTTTCTATTTCATGTATGAAAGTAGAACTACTTTATGTATCTAACATAAAACAGAGTATAGATGGACTTGTAGACCCCATTTTTATAATGAAAATTGGTTATCCATCTTGGAAAATTAGGCAGTGGATAGCGTATCACATTAGTAACATAAAATGTAAATCTCTCGAGCAACTTTTATTTTAGTTCTTTTAGCACAAAAGTCTTGGAAGCATCCGTTAGCAAATCTCAAAAATATTGTCTATTTTGATATACCTAATATTACCTACATTTCGAACAAGTCCATGGTAGTACAGCTAAAGATAAATATTGTTATTTTATATTCTAGAGTTAATTCATGCCAGGAAAATAATGCTCTGAAAAGTAAGACTTGTGCTTTAATGGCTGCATGAAATAAGAAAAAAACTCATTCCCTGAGCACATAATCATTTTAAAATTTTTTTTAAAGCTTTGAATGTTTACTTAATACTCTATTATAATGCTGGAGAAACATTTCTACGATCTGTGGTCATACAAATTTAAGTGAAATATCAGTGGTCTTATATACATCAGAGCATAAATTTCTAGGACGCTCCCCGATAAACACGTTGGAACGTACACGTACACATTTAAACACTAACATACACGAATTACATTACACCTATACCCTACTTACTCCTTTTTTTTGCACATTCACGTATATACATCAGTGTAAATACCTCACAAGAGGTGAACACACTATAATATAAAAAAAAAAAACGTATATACATAGTCAGCCCTATAATCAGCAGACTATAAATACATAAATTTGTATACTTTGGCTCAAACGTGTTTTAACTTTCGAAAGCAGAGCTGCACATTATTCATGTCCTAACTGTACTAATTTGGTACTATCGATAACCGACACCTAGTAGGCACAATGTAGCATCATTTTTCAAAAACACTCTTGTTTGTGAAGAGTTCATCTATAAGATCTCCAAATGTCGTTTTATTTAACCACGAACAAGCATGTAAAACATTAATGGTAAAAAAGCGGTCCTTCGCTTTCGGCGCACTTGGCTTGGTAGTGGGGTGGGGGCGGCTCACCTAAGCGGCTCAGTTGGGAACTCTTGACGAACAAGAGCGTTTTTTGAAATAAAGCTACGTCACGCTAAAAACTTTTTATGGCCATTTTACGAAAGGATCATTTTTCAGTTTTCTTAGGGGTTCGCGAAAAATTTTCAATCGATCTTGCTGAGGTGTGTATGTTAAGGGCTAAGATACTTACCTTGTGTCTAAATTTGAGCTCTAAATATTAATTAGAACCCGAGTTATTGAATTTTCAAAAATGGCCAAAAATGAATGGCCATGAATATATGACGTCACATATAAGAAATCTATTGAAAAAGTATACAATTAATTTTAATCAAAATATCTATGTATAAACACGACACTCACAGCATCCCAAAATGTCTTCCAGTACTCTGAACACATTTCTTTATCAAAAATAAGTTTCATCAGATGGTTACACAGAAGTAACACACACTTTATTAGTAAACAATGCCATCTGTCACCTATTAGAAGTAATAAGATTCAAGATAAATGCTATTGGAATCCAAAAAGTTACGTGATCCATCGTAATATACATAGCCGAGTCAGGAAAATTAATACCAGCCATATTGGGACAAATTAGTTTTTATTTTTTGTATGCCTATAACAACTATAATAACGTAAAAGCCTAAAAT